ATTTATCTCACCACGGTACTGTTTTTGTCTCGTATCTAGACCTACAAGTTACTATGACTCTGTTTCTTAAGCACACCGGGTCAGTTTGAGTTGCGACTTCAAGCGAGTTATTGAGAAACACGACTGAAACAAACACTGCCGCAAGGCATCAGTGCAAGTTGCGCTGAATCAACACCTTACTCCTGTATGACTTCTCATGGAAATTCTTAGTGTAAGCTCAGACGAGCCCGTTTTAATAATCCCTAGAATGGGCTGAGAAATATCCTCGCTTGAGCTCCACCGAGTTTTTATCATATTAAATGCAAACCTTCGGATTTTCGAACTTAAAATGACCAGTCAGTGAACGGAAACAATCTTTCCTATTGGGAAGTCAAAAAGCGATTTTTTTATTCAAATTGCAGTTGGCTATTTGATGTTGTTAAATTTATTACTGGTCGCTGACAGAATCCAAAACATTAAGATGTATCCGCTAGCATACGCGCTCGCATCCTGGTTTCACACACTGTGGTAAACTTTGTGCATGCGCAATTTTAGTAGCTACTGCTCGCGCGTACACCAAAACAAGAGGTTGCACGTGAGAGCACCAAGATGGAAAGAGTGAGATCAGGTGGCGTGATCTATGTGGTATTCACAACGAGGTTGCAAGAGTCGCCAAATGCATCGACTGGTGGTGGAACAGAATTAGCTTTGGGCGTTGGGAGGGGGTCCACTAGCCAGTTAAGTTGAACTTCGCGTACGGCCAGTGGCGAGTGAAACCCCACCAAAAAATTGGTTTATGGGGTTTCGCACCGACTGTGCCTTGGCTTGGTAACTTGACCACTTGCCTGGCAACTAAGTTAGACTGGTAATCTTGGAGATTTCGTCTGAAGAGGTGACCCTCAAAAGAGACATCTTGAGGCTAATAATCAGGCTCTAAGAGCCAGAACAGGCCACTTTCCAGTCCAAACCACGGGTAGTTTTAAAAAAACTCCGTCAAACTCCTTCCCGCATCTCTTGGCTGGGTCACACGTGAATGGATTGAGTTGATCGATGAGATGAGGAGTAAGGTGATTCAGAGGAATCCATTACTCCTGTATTGTAGGTAGTTCTGGTTTAACCCGATCACCCGATGCATTTCGAAGCAGCTGATGCGTACTCTGATGCACCTGGTCAAACGGTCGCTGAGTGGAATTTTCGGATGAGTTGGCCAAAGAATTAAACAGTGACATTTATGTGCAAATGTCACCGTCGGATGCAAAAGGACAGATCCGGCTTTCCATATCACTCAGTTCCTGTAAGTTATTTGATTTTGTTTAATTTTTACAGCCGATTCGCGGTTATTTTTGTTGGCTGTTATAACATTCACCCGGGATTCGGAAGTTTCACTGTATATATTGTTGTGTTACTCGAACCAAGGAATCCACTTAATGTTTTACTGAAAGGTAGTTCCTCTGCTCAAAGATCCTGCAATTTCACCATGGTTTCCTGTACTTGCCTCATACCTACCGCACGCCTCAGATGTGAGCCGCTGCCGCCCCGTATCGGGGACCGAACCTATGGACTGGACCTTCTACTAGCTCTTTGCACCAGATAATCCCATCACCAAACGAGATCCCGAATCTAGCTATCATGCTCTTTCACGAGGTTTGGTGTTCTCGAAGGTCAACTGTCGCGGATTCCGAATAGTGCAAACCAAATGTTCTGCATTTTTGGTTGCCTTGTTCGATGTATAGTTACGGGTGTGCTGTGACAGTGCGTAACCGACGGGAGGATATACCGGTTGAACGAAATAGCCCGGTTCTACTTTATCTTGATCTAGAATCACCGGCCATATTAAGGTACATGATACTGGTAGCTTTGAGGGTTGTCTACATGTTTCGGTTCAAGTAGTGCGTTTAAATGATTCAGTGCTGTCTGCCTCGAAGGCTCTTGAACGAATAGATAGCAGAACAACGAAAAATCTTGTGCACTTAGTCAACAAAGCATGCCACAGTCGATGAACAGACGCAGTGCTTTCACTTCCTTTGTGGAACAATGGATGCAAAATGCCTTATCTCGAGCAATATAATTCCACTACATCATCACCATAAACTCCAATTCTCATTCTCTCCAACCTGATCAGAACATTGGAATAATTTTACTTACGCTTGTCAAATAACAAATATATAGGGATCTATCTGATTCGCTTTTGGAGGGATTGCCCTGATTCACTAAGAACTCGATCTTTCAGCTGTTCTTGGGACTTTCCAGTGAAGTTTTTATCTATCAGCATTACGCAGACAGTGGCGCCGGAGGACAGAAGCGAATAGACAATCGAATGCACTGATACATGAAGTTATGCAATTGAAACATACTAAAAGCTACGTCGGAACGCATCGATCGCTATCCAACGACTCTGTGCATTAAGGCATACCTAAACGCATTGTGGAGCTTGAATTTCTCCGTGGTACATTAACAGTTTTATAAGCCAGGATAACAAGTACACCAGAGTGTTCTGTAGATCGACCTGTCCACATTTTGTCAGTTCATAGTGGAATAAACGCAAGGCTAGGGCAAAGAGACTCAAACAATAAGGGCTGTAGCTTCTATATATAAGGACCTTGACAACCTTTTGACAAAACATTTCAAGGAATGGCCATGCGGTACACAAAAGCCCTTTCTATTAGACGAAGTACACCCCGGGAATTACCGGACCCGGTGTGACGTACCAAATCCTACCATCAAAAACAATATATATGGCGAGCGTTTACTAATTACTTTCATTTCATCTATCCATTCTATCCGAATCAGGTCTGACCCGTCACCACCTACATAGGTTCGCACACAATTTCGAGACGGTAACCGCACCACAACACTAAGCTTTACATTATCAGTGAGATTTCTCAGGTTCACCAGTGACTGCGCAACCGAGTTGTGGGTAATGGCTACAACTGGACGTTGACTACACTGAGTTGTTGCAGGATGCCTGTTGGATCATATTCCTTGGCCGCGATCAGCCCAATAGGACAGGCTGACGGTGTAGACAGCCAGAATGATGTTTCAACGAGATCTTATGAGATTACGCACAGGCTACGGTCACTGCCACGCTGAAACTAATGTAAAAGTGATCGGAGCTTCGTGATAAGACTGCACAGGTTGCCACTGAAGGTGGCATGATCTCGGCCAGATGGAAGAGGTGACAATCGGGTACCTGCCAAAAAATGTAACTACCAAATTCGCAAAATACATTCATTTGAGCACTAGTTTGGTTTTAGCAGGAGACTTAAATCAAGCGCTTCCTCTGCATCAAGTCTTAGTTTATTACTCGTCACTAAAGATAGTGCAACTATTACCGATGTATTCAATAGAATGAATCACGAACTACTTGTTGATTGCCTGTCGTTGACACATCAAGACATTCAACATAACTTGCTACATTGTCAACAGCCACGTCGACGTAAGAAACAATGGATGGACTCGGTTTCTGTATAGTACTCCCATAATGCATTACGGGACACGATGGATTGATAAGAAAATTAGAATTCGTCTTCCAATTATGTTGCGAATTGTAAATCGCCTCTCAGTACGATTGGATCTGCAAGACTACACATCAAATCAGTCAACCGATTTGTATATTTGTGAATAACTGCTCCATCTTCCAAATACTGACGTCAAAGTGAAGCTAATTTCGACATAGTCATGCTGTTTCTCGACCGAACTGCAGATAACATTTGACAGTAAATTGATAAATCGCCCCATTGGGCACTACTGTCCATCGAGCTAGCCCCGTTGGAGAACATCAGTACTGATATCTTCAACGGAACGATTCAGCATTCGATGATATTGCGGAGATTCCTGTTGAAGCTCCTACCTTTCTTACCATGGTGGTGTGTGGATTCCATGACTGAGGGACGAGTGGCGCTATTGATACAACTGTCTTGCACAATGCACGATAAAAGAGGTAGTAACCATTAAAAAGATGAGATTCGGGGGTTTAATGGATACTTTTTCTTGTAAGTGAAGTCCACCTATGCTGAAAAGCCGACACGCGCTGTACAGCTGTTTCTTTTTCAGTGAGAATAGTCAGCAGCGCGCATCTCACGAAACTCCAGAGATTTCCAATGAGAATGAAACAGCTGTACAGTGATTCTCGGTTTACAGGCATAGATTGGCCTCACTTTTCGGACGAAACCTCCATTAGCGCTCTCAAATATTCTGACGCTATCAATAATCAGAGCAAGAATAATACGATGCATGAAACTCCCATCTGAAAAGGCATCACTTGAGTAATCAGTCAAAACATGACCATGTGTGGATTCCATGACTGAGGGACGAGCGGCGCTGTCGTAACGAGAACATGCAGGCAATAACTGGCTTACCCTCTACTGTGTAGCAAAAAATTTATCCAAATTGTTGTTTTACCGCATTCTTTCGACTATATTGATTATCATCAGTCTACTGGGCCAACGAGATGCCTCGGATTCTGACATTTTTGGACACTCGAACTCCACTCATTGATTTTCATCGCGAATCAAAAATATAGGTTTCGACAAAAACACTCATCTACATATCAATTTGGTTTTCACAAGTACATTTGCACGAACAGCCGAGTATAACATCGGTATCAGGCAATCGTCACTACCGGTGATATCCATTCGATATTTCTATTTACACGACCAAAAATCCATTCGAATGACTATCCTGGGAATCAATAAAGCATTTGCAAACTTCAAGTAAATAAAAATGTGGAATCGGCTTCCCTAACGTCGTTCGAGTTCTTAATATTTAAAAAATCCAACGCCGTATTCCGATGACCTCTGCTGAAAGCTAAATTCAGATACACTTGAAGTTATAGTTGTACGCCTCTGAAAGGACCCTCCCAGAGCCACAAGGAACCGTCCAAGTACGGTCTTCTGTGAGGAGTAATTTGTCCAACCTAATCACCCAGCACACACAGTGACTCTTTTCATCGACCCTGACCCCTGCGGGGATTTCTTTCCCAAGACAAATAGCCGCAAAGCACACAATGTCAGTAGATCATACGCCAACTCCCACTAGCCAAAGGTAATAACATTGGAGCGCTGTGAAATGAAGAGGGGCAAAAATGCTTGTTCATCAACAAAAAGGGAAAAAGTAAAGCGTCCCAGTTGGATAGACAGGTTCATACCGCCACAATGTGTACAGTTAATGCAAATTAACAAGAAGGACAAAAGATACGGTGGGCAATGGATGAGGACGAGTGGACTGAGTGTGTAGTTGGCCGGTAAGAAGAGACGGGATGCAGGGGTGGCACAGCCAAATGCTCAGTTTGTGGCGAACGCATCATCTCTCTGATATGCTGTGGTGAAAACTAGAACGCAAGAGGGAATTGGAAAGAGACTACAGTTGGCAATTGTGATTCAGTTTGTGGCGAACGCATCATCTCTCTGATATGCTGTGGTGAAAACTAGAACGCAGGAGGGAATTGGAAAGAGACTACAGTTGGTCAATTGTGATTTGTGTCGGTGTGATAGATCATCTCACGCGGAGTTGGGGAGATGTGTGTAGAATGGCTTTAAACAGGAAGCTTTCTCTACAACAGCAGAGTTCACAGAAGCTGTATGAGGCCATAAGCGAAGACGATCGAACAAGAAGTATGTACACAGGAGAATGTAAAATCGAGCGGATTGGGTCCGGTAAAGTTATGGTGTGCAGATCAATCAGACACACAACTAAGGGATAGCAAGTGAAGGGCTACAACAACAGCACTCAAAGCAGGGTTGAACTGAATGGAGGTAGGGTAGATAAGCCGGGTGACTGGAAGTGACATGGCTTTGTAACTCCTGTCAATGGCACACAAAAGATCACGCAACGTATTGGGAAGGGGGTGGTTTGTCTGCACTGAGCTGAGGAATGAGGGTTATATCAGGAAAGTGCGGAACGAAATCTGCGTGATGCACAGGTCTGGCTGTCTGCCAGTACGCAACCAGAAACCGCCTCATCCAGTCTCGGTTACCAGTGGGACTAACTTCGTTCTGAGGCCTATGGCGTCGAGATCCACTGTACCAATTGAAATAACTAGTTGGGTTTGAAATTCAAAGGCCAAAATATTCTGTTTCAGGGGGTGGAGAAAACTTGGGAATGTGGGATATGAAAGAAACAGGCAACTGTACGGCTGTGGAGAAAGAAGTCTGTTCCACAGCCTAGGCCAAATACTTGTACACACGACGATCGTCTTCCATGCGCGCAAGGAATTCCCTCTCGATAAGTGATTCAATCCGTTGTTTGATCAGCACCGGAGTGGGAACAAAGCGCGACTTCAGTTGTTCAATTACCTCAACGACCAGTTGACCATGTCCCAAGGTCTTGCGAGCTTTCATCACTCTGACAATCGTCGCCTCAATCACGTAGCGTCGATTCTCATCAACACGTGTGTGTATTTCTTGCCGCTCCGGTTCGTTCTCCTTTACAGTAATGCTTTGGACCTGAAACAACGAAAACGTTGCAATCGAATGATGTTTGATGGTAAAAAAAACTTAATAGAGTTGCTTCCATAACCTAAGCTTAAAGATAGAACTGATAGCCTACGATGACTTTGGTATACCACTGCAGCGTTCAAATTGTGCACACTTAAAGAAGATCATTGTGTCGATTAAACAACTTCCACTTCTTTTGTAAACTCCGGGATTACGGTGCACAATGCAGTTCTGTCATGCTTTTCACAGGCATCGGAATGGATGGCAATAATGCAATACAGCTAGCCCGTGGACCTCGCTGTGAGATAGAATGTGCTGTAATGCGTCTAACTAAGAGCCCGCATTCCAAATTGCCAAGAGCGCTCCACGCCAACCAAAGCGTCAAATCTCTCGCTAAACAGGATTTATCCTCAGGAGAGGCCAGGGATTATCTGTCTCTGAGGGTGGGCTACTGTGCTCCGGACTGTAGTCCTATCTATGTGCATCAAAAACTCCATACCTCGCTAAAATTTCGTCTCCCGATTTGACCGAGGCAGCCGAACCGACATTAAGATACGTTGTCTAAGTTTACAGTTAGTTCGGCTGCTCTTTTGGAAATCGCAATTTTGTGTGAATGTTCACTGTACCAGCTTGAAATCACAAACTTCAAAGCCGCTGATACAACCGTTGGGATCACGAAGGGCACGAATATAGAGCCACATCCAGGTGTTCATACAGTCATGTGGGGGTTATTTATGAACACTAGCAGCCAACAGCGGACTCTTTAGGGATCTGCCGACATGGAAATGTTGGTTTTCATTTTAGAAGAGGTTTGGTAGCATGCGGCAGATGTACAGCTGGGCAACGTTTCGATTTTGACACAATCTACAGCAGGACAAACGGGCAGGTTGTCCGATTAACCGAAATTTAAGGCAGCTGGATAACTAATGACCGAGACCTCTTTCAACCTGCTCAACCAGAGTGTTAAATGTCATTTAAAGGTTCTTATTATTTGGTGTGGGCTGGAGGATTTGACCCTGATAAACTTTATTATCTTAATAACTTGAATCCCTACATCTATACACATCATTTTTTTAACTACATGAGACATAGGGATGGCGAGAAACCGAAAACTGCTGTCTTCTAGAAACCTAGTGGCGACTCGGGTTAGTTATCGACCCATTCCAAAGAAATATTCGGTAGTAGTGCCTCATTATTATATCGTTCAGAGCTCCACGTACAGAAGTTTGTCGACTGGTAGGGCAAATTGAAATGGAAAACAAACCTCCAGCATCAGGATATCCTGCTAGCCTGATCAGGTTAGAATGATTGTGGCCACCAATACCTACATCTCATAGGGATTGGATCGGGACAACTGTTATTCCACATGAAGCATGAACACCTGAAGTCATCCGAACACGATTAAATACGTCTAACACAGTGTTTAGCGTGAAGTCCAAAAATAGGAACACTTTGCGCTCTGTGTTGGTGCAATATTCACAACCGGGTGGATTACCAGTAGAGAGAGGCCACCAGGCGAGGTGGCTCAAACCTGAGTTACGCAATCTGGGCTGTCTTAAAATAACATGACCTCTCTCTGCTTTAACCAAGCTGTCGTAGCAGTTACTAACGCACACAGAACAGAATATGTCAAGGACGCCCAGACGAAATCACCAGCTAAAACTCCGTGAATCAGAAGGACGAACAAAATTTATGTTAAATCCTCCTCCTTAAGTCTGGTGGCTGTAAGATTCAATCACTCATAGACGCAGTAACGAACTCTTGATCCCTATTCAACGTTGATCTAGTATGGTAGTTGAGAGAGATCCTGCNGTCCTTCGTTCACCTTGAAGACTGATGAAGCTTCTGTAGCGGAACCGGAGACTGGCCCAGCAACAAATCCATCAACTGTTTATAGAGTTTCCGGAACGATACCTTTGTGATGGGTTCCAAGCATAGTCCGGTTGACTTGATTATTAGCTCCCCAGAAGCGCCATTTCCCCTTTTAGACAGGCACCCCTCCTGTCTACGTCTTCTGACATTTTCGCCCTAGAGGTATGCAGCTTTGCAAACGTCATTAAACCATTAATTTATTACTGGCAATGGACCAATGGTGATCGAGCCCAAAAGGAGTCTTCAAATTGGGAAGTTACCCTGACACACGTGATCTGTATAAAGCGAGTCTACTCCCCTGGCTTATTTATGGCTTCACCTAAGCCATACATTTTTATCACAGGCAATATTTTTACCGGAAAGTAGTGTATCCCAGTATCGGAACTCTCATAACAGTCTTTCGGAGAAATGAGTTCTTTCCATTTCAAACGACAGTCTTTCTCAAATAAGGCCAACAATGTCATCTCACACAGAGAAACTCCTTCATTTGAACGGCGCCCAAATGGACTCACAAATCATTTTGGTGTAACAGCCTCGCCAACGTACAACACCTGAAAGGATGTGTACCGAATTCTGCTCTCAAAAACTAAAGTCCAGATATTTACGGAATTCAGTCACTTGAATTACAGATCCACCGGGACCACGAAGCACGATGGTCGATTTCTCCGTTTAATTCAGTGGAGACCATTGGATTTCCGCGACCAACTTGATGATGTCAATGGATTAGAGTCCAGTGGTAACCATTACGGAGGACCTAAACACGCATAAAAAGGATGAAAGATGACTTTGCTTGAGATGACTCGATGGTTAAGACGCGAACCTACAAACTGGAAGCTCCTTGGTAGGAAGCGAACCCCGGCATCTCGACTGCTCTTGTCCACGCCTGGCAGTACCTTCGGGTGACGTGGAAGCTACGCATCGAAAGTGTTGCAGCTGAAAGATTATTATTACTTTTAGTAGTAGTAGTATTAGGCGACTGTCTAGAAGTTTTGCGATGAGGTACAAGGTATATCTTTTTGTCATCACAACAACTAAAGCATCATAGTCTTCTGAGTGCTGCATTATCAGGCAGTTTAATAGGTGTATGCAGGAAGAGAAAAAAGCTTTGCATTCGGAGTGAGTTTAGAACCATATTTCATTCAGAAGTATCCTTGGCCAGACTGGCCAAAGCAACAGGCACATGACTGCGCCTACCTGATAAGACTTAAGAAGGGCGGAATCAGTCTTGGACAGTCGAAAGGAGTTCAGCAACCTTACTTGCAGTATTCCGTCAAGAATATGGACACATGATATTAAGTGGTTCTTACCGGATACAGAAACACCCGGTGTTGACAGATAGGTACTATCCCTGAAGGTATGGCCATTCGTCAATATCAGCAAATGATGTCGAACAAAGCGCATTAGAACTCGCAGCCCCATCCAAGCTACTTTAATCCTCGTGACCAGTAACCCGTAACTTAAAGATTCATAGTGTCCCTAGTTCGGAAAACGTGCCATTGGAGCTAACAACCTGAAAAACGATACACAACGTCTACAGCGAGACCGCCGACACGGACACATGTACCTTGACTTTGAAATGTTTGGAGACGAACGAATCATTCACATAGAACACATCATTGGGTTCAATTTCTCTGGTTTTCGGTTCTTTGCAAAGGATCCGCTGGTTCGATCTTCCAAGCGCCAAGGCCATCAGACTTCGTTTGAGTTCCCGTTCAGGAATGTTCGTTTCACTACTTAATTCCGCGAAAGTGTAACGACTACGTCGATTGAATTTCATTAGAATTTCCATCTGGTACGTGGACACCTGAAGAAGAAGAAACAAGTGTGCGAAATCGGAGGGATCGGACACTGCGGAGTTATCTGAGCAGAGCATTGTGTTGCGAAAGTTGAAATCCAAAAGAATGGAAGCGTAGTTAGTAAATCGAATTAAGGGAACTTACCTGGGTAAATATTAGCAGAGGTAACCGATACATAAATGGAGCAGTTTACGAAGTTACGTAGGCGTTTCCGAGCATTTTTTTTATTTTCTCGATGCCGGATAAACTTTTGGTGATTCAGTTAAATTCTGTTAGGAGCGTTCCTAGTGGAGACCCCCTACATGTGTATGTTGTGGTGCCTATTACCCGGAGGCTCAGTTTAGTCATGCTGAGTGAAACTTGGCTCCTGAGAAATCAAAATGACAGGTTCTGGTTGTGATTACCGTAAACAATAGCAACATCAGTGCTTCGCAGCCACAGTCGCACTGTTTCATGAAAATAAGAAGCTACCAGAAAAACAAAGAAAGTTTACGCAGTGTTAGCCAATGAGGCTACTTGCCTGGAGAGTTCAAAACTTCGCTTTTTGCCTACAATCCGGAAAACACAAGGCTACTTGCCTGGAGAGTTCAAAACTTCATTTTTTGCCCACAATCCGGAAAACACTCTTCCCCGTGGAAAGGCCAAATGCTTTCTTCTTTTAAGAGGGATGTTGTCTAATAACTCTTGCGAACCGAAAACATGCCAAAGGGAAATCAATAATGGGTGTACAATTAAACCAATCATCAGCCACATCCCTCGATTATGTTAGGACGGATAAAAATCAAACTTTCGCTAACCACCTTGTGATCGGGTAACCCCGTACTTATTCCCCACTTGGTGTTCTACCCACTACGGCACACCGAAAGGCACGCTAGCCATGACAGATCATGATGGAGAACATTGAAAACAACGGTATTTATGGAGCTAGTCAGCGTAGAATGCATCGATCCTGATTGGCCGATGTGTTGGGTAATCAGTGTGCCTCTTTTATGGAGCTAGTCAGCGTAGAATGCATCGAGCTAAAAAAAGCTCGATCCTGATTGGCCGATGTGTTGAGTAATCAGTGTGCCTATTCCAGGTCCGTCGCTAGTTCGCTCCAGATGCCTGGTCGAAATGATTCTCACTTATTGCAGTAGGCTACTCTCCGTACATCACACCTTGATGTTGCTGTTCATCCGATCGCACCTACAAATGAACACGTGAAAGTTCGAGAGAGAGCTATCGTCTGTCGAACAATGAAAGGGTATGTTTGTAATGCGTTTGAGGTACGTCTGGACGCCCCCTAGGCCTCGGGGGCTATGCTGAGGTTGTCCAGTGTTGTCTGAGACCTCGGACTCTGATGATTCCGCCGCCCGCTGCTCCAAGTTGGTCCTCGTGATGTGATCACCTCTGATACTTGACTCACCGAATGCATTACTACATCTGCATGGTGTTGCACCAGATGGTTACCGCACTTCCCACCTGAAGTGATCTTGAACAAACACGGAACTGCCCCTGTACCTTTTCTGATGCCCAGTTCCTTGGCTCTCGGTAGGAAGCGTGTGTGGCTAACAGTAGGGTATTCTATCTGAGATTGTGAACTGAAGAGTGAAGAAATAAAGCGCAGGGCTGTTGGTTGTCGGTAAACTGTCAGAGTATATGGATGAGAAGGCTACCTGTGTTAGGTGTCGTGGGCAGCGTACTCATTCTGTATGATGTGCTCCGACTGGCCTCCAGTTCAAACGAAATAATAGGATATGGTGCTTCTGAGAACGTATTACCATATACGGCCGCTCTGTTACAAAGAGTATCGACACAACGCTCCAAGAATGGGGACACAAAATAAATCTAGGTCTGGGGGATTGGGCCCTGTGTAGTTGGTGAGGTAGCAAACGCCATTAATTTGGATCCCACTGAGGGTCACAGAATAGGCCAGGGTCTCTGTCAACTTAGGGTTTACACTCAAAGCATTGCGAACTGTACCCTTTCTGGGCTAAACTTGTGCCCATCAAATCACGCTCGAGGTTCGTTCTGAAATCTGAGTGCGTTCAGAACCCGTTTCGAGTTGAATATAAAGAAACGTACGATCGAGGCAGAGTGGAACACAGAGTCGGTCAGGTGAATTCATCCGGAACGTTTGTGTCACAGAGCCCGAATATGCTCTCCTGTACAGTGATTACTTGCATTAGCCTTTGAGGTTACTTTTATAGCATTATACTTCAGGGTGTTTTCGACTGCACTTGGTGCAGCTCTGGTTCCGGCAGGGACAGTCATGCGAAATTACTCGTTAAAAAAGCAACATGGAGAACAGTTTCCTTGAAATCCGTGACGAATTCGGTTACCTTTTGGGGTTACATCATTCATAATAACAGGGCGAAAGGGTTTGGTATGCACGATTGCTGCACTGCCATTGATAGTGTTCGAAACAACCAAGTGGTTAAGGTTCCAGCTTATGGACCGGAAGGTTCTTGGGTCGAACCCAACCTCAGGATCGCGCTGCTCCTGTCTAGGCTTGGAAAACCTGGCAGTATCCCAGCTCTCGTGTCTCATTCAGTTGGCATAGCAAAGGTACTATAGCAGGAAGACGATTCCATATGACGATTACCACTGGTGGGACGCTGGTATCCGGTATTAAGCTTCTACATCGACTCAGTAAACACGTCTGAATGTCTGTGGTTATGGCGGACCGGCCACGAAAGCCATATATTGAATGGATACACGGCCATCGTCCTTGACCAGAAATGCTGCCATTTTTTGTTGACTACTCTTAGTATCTTTACATACTAATAACACTGATTAACGAGCTCTGATTAGCAAGCAGCTGTGCTGGAATTTATGGTCAAGGAATACAGGACTAAGAAAGCTGTGAGCTACCCACATGAGGAACAGTGGAGTCTTCAATGTATCGCTAAAGTTAGCGAAGCTGGTTTGGAAAATGGTCTTCACATTATAAGTGCGTCCAGATCCGTCGTCGTCCCTTCTTAAACCGATCGTGGGTTGTCAAGGAGACTTCAGTAACCCTATGGATGGTTTCCTTCAAGAAAATGCACTGCGATATTTCAAATATTGCACCAACATGAGGTAGTCTTTGTGCAGCAAATACCATAGACGAGACTCAGCTGGATGTCAGTCGAATCTTTAAAACCAAGCTGGAGAGCAAATGAGTGTAGTTCGCGAATTCCGCACAATTTAGGTTCAAGCAGAACATAAGGTTGACGAAAACTCGGGGACTGCACCTACCTGATGAGCCCCAAGAAGGGCGAAACAGGTCGAGGGTTGCAGGGGAGTTTTCAGGAAATTTATGAGTGGCATTCCTTTGAAAACTATGATGCTTGATTTTATTTACATTCCGGGATCCATGTAAGTTCCATGCTAAGCAATGCTACACATTGGTTATTTAACGTGAGTGTACAAGTGTGCCAAAGAGAGTAGGGGCTCATGAGTTCAGCAGTACCGTAGTCACCGAATATGTCACGCACAATCTAGGAATAAAGTTAGTCGAACTGAACGAAGGACACTTCCAAGACGCATTCGAATTAGAGCCCACATGTCTAGAAATCAGATAAGTCGTTCTATGTACTCATTTTCGGATAGTTTAAAAGTACCCGTAAAAGCGTTTAGCCACTCAGGTTTTACTGAAATACGACTTGAGCTATCAGAACTCTTAGAGACCCATCCTTAGTATCATTCAAGTTTACGACGTCTGAGCTTAAAATCTCAACGAGCCCGAAAGCCCATCCGAATAAAGGCTAGTACAGTGGCATAGTGACTAGAGGCCACTAACGCTGATCTGCTGTCAGCTCTGGATTCAGTCAGTGCTGAATGGATAGAAAGGCTAGTCCAGTCTTTTGAATAAAACAACAGCTAAGCTCGTTAAACTCTCTGTGCGATAACTAGCTGAATGGATTTGTTGAGCTGGAAGGCGTTCCTTCTATTTGGGAGATCAAGAGCCTCTTCCCTGCTTGCTTCGTGTGACAAGTTAGGACACCACTTGGTTAGGTGTATCAATCAAGTGTAGCTCTTCCCCTCGTGAATGTATAATACGTGCATTCCAAGATAAGTACATGGTTCTCAGAACAACGGTCGGCTGAGTTCACAGGTCGGGTGCGACCACGTAACCTGCTTTGGGCTGATGAGAAATGTGCCCCTTACTCGGTACCTGGAGTATATGTATTCCAAAGGGAAACGCTCAGCTGGACGAGTGAGAGGTCTATGACATTCGTTGGTGAAAAGTGTACTCGACTCCCAGCTTCAGTAACATGCCCATCGGTCATCCGAACGGGTAGGGGAGCAAAGCACTCGTACAAAAGACTGGTGCAAGCCCCAGGGTAAATCGCGTTAGGAATAAATATCTTGTTCGTGATGTTCCTCAAATAACCTGCAGTGGAGGGACCGTCTATGGGCTCAGCCTGAAGGATATTCAAGATTTCGAAATACTTTCCTCTCATAGGTAACGATACACATACAGTCGGAGCTCCTACTGTGGTGTACGTATGGTAAAAGTCGCTCAGAGTTCCCACATTAGTAAAAAATGCAATTCCGTATTGTTAAAGACGATATTTAGTTTTGTGGTGGGACAGTGAACCATTTCAGAACAAGTGATTTCAAAGGATACTGCTTGTTGGGTGCACTACTAGATGTCGATATTATGGGCACTTACGAAGGCTGGCCTGCTTCGAAAGCTAGTACTCGTTCTGGTGGGCAACACTGATTGATGCAAAGCATTTATCCAGTCGAACCGATTCCGTTGGTGACACTTAGGGAAACTTAATGCATATTCGATATGCGCGCGATACTCCGTCATTAGTATCACGGACTCCAACGCCATTGTTCACACTGGCTCTCCAATGCCGTGAGCTCAGGATACCTCAGAGTTTAAGGCGCGAACTTTCTGACTGGAGGGTCCGTGATTCGAACCCAACCTCAGCACCTCCACTGCCCCTGCCTATGCTGGGGCAACCTAGCAGTATCCCAGCCGTCGTGCTTCCTTCGTGTCGCATGGCAGCTAAGCACAGAAAGGGTGCCGCGGCTAAACTGTTATCACTAGTATTTTCAAATGTCGTAAGATCATGACAAGTGTATGCTTGAAAACGCCCCGATGAAATTAGTTGAAAAGGGCGAACGGGTCCAGGCCCAGCTCACAATAGACATTCTGAGGTAGTTACACATAAACACCAATATATTCATCATTTCCAACAATCTAAAGCTAAGCGACTTTTGATCCGTGAATTTCAGCATTCGACGAACTTTCATGAACAACAGCTAGATTGGTGGACCTGATGAAGTCCTTCTGGTGGCGCAACCAACCCAGCTTGCATGAATAGCCCATACTACGGTTTTAACTAACTAGTAACACAGTTGTACCCATTAACAGACCGAGCAGATGAACAAACGAAAAATGGTCTAAGTGGGACCAGGAAATATAACCACTCGACGTGCAAATGAAAGTTAACTTTGGAGACCGAGGCCCGTCTAGCATCACTTAACAATCAGATGTTTGCATACACCGATCAGAACAGCATGACGCTGTGTGGGCATAAGCAACCGAATTCTCCGTCATAGCTATGCTGACTAACCTGTAGAAAATATTTCCTGAAACTCCCGCGTCCAGTATTGAACGTTGCAGGCTCTAGCGTTCCCGGTGCTCCAGGACTTCCTGGCAAACCACTGACAAGCATACCTTGGCTTCCCTGACTGTTAACTTGTCCTGAAGATCCGGAACTTGAACCGCGTAAAAGGAAAGAGGGGTTTATGGGATCCATCAGTGCAGTGCTAGCACCCGCACCAGTAGTAGCAGAGCCAACTTGAACACCATCCGAACTGGAGACCCGTCCAAAAAATAGGGCAGCGAGTTCCGCATAACCCATATTAGTCTGAAGGCTGATTTTGCGGCCATTATGTTTGCTCAAGTAGAAACTGCGAAGGGATGTTCAAAAAGAATAACACTGTTCTGATCAAAGGAACACAGACTAATGTGGTCGAATGAACACTAGCAGATCATAGGGTCAAAAAGTAACCTGTAAACCAAAGCTGTGGATTCGGCTAGCTGTATAGCCCTTTCCGTTCTACATGAGCTGAAGGGTGAGCTAAGAAATTCTTGAGTTAGACATGAGTTATTGAGATGTGAAAGCGTTGTGTTTTTGCTCGGACCGTGTTCACACTCATCCGTTTGAACACCGCAGTCGGCGACCTTAGAGAAATGGGTTCCTATAAACGTGTTAAACATCATGGATAAAATGAGCCATCTGAAAAAGATTCGAGCCACTAACGACACAACTTTGCAATCAAGTGATCATTTTAGGTTTGTAAGGTGTTCAAAAAATCGGTTTTGTTATATCTGCTGATTCGCCAATCTGTGGTATCTGCTGCTGACCGCTCCAGTGTCTGGTGCCGAAAAAAAACTCACGGAAGGGAACACAACAGCTGTATTCCGAACAAGCGAGTGCGACAGCGTGAGTGCGTGCGAGTGCCAAAGTACAACGATCTCAAGCTATTTATTGGAAAGACACTGTCTGAACTTAGTCCAATGCTGACGCACACGGTCTGCCCTTAGTACGAGGCTGCGACGCGCTGCACATTGAGGGGGCGTTGTCTGTCCAGTCAACATCTAGCGGAGCTGAGTCTCGGTAGATTCCAGGCACTCAGTGGTTGCTTTCAGGAAGCTGACCTTCCTGATAGGTTTCCTGGCATTTCACGGTAAATACGGCACCGTTCGACTGTAAAGAGAAATGCAGCTTGAGGTAACCGCAAGAATGGCTGTCTGTGTGGACCTCTTGTCCCGTTGCAAGTTTCCCTTCGCTGAAAGGCACACGCCTTATCTATGCTATGAACGGCCTATAAACGCAACAAACAACACTAGTAAGGACATACAATAGTAGAAAAAAACAATGAATTTTCCCTTCTGAGGAAAAACTGAGCTGTTTTTATGGGCTTAAGGAAACTTAACGCCAAACACACAGAATTCCACAGAAGAGTCGCTAAGCCGTCCACCAAACTACACTTTCCGATTTCTCTTGAGAGGCTTCGCCTGGATGGGAATGGCGAGTCAAGTTGGAAGTCGAAAAATAACGGAGGGTGAAAGGCTTCCAAAAGCGAACGATGGGATCTTTTTCTACTCTCCTTTCCTAAGTCAGTCATTTATGTATTAGACGAGTTCTCCCAATCTAATAAGGAGAATACAGTTATATGTCAAAAACTACCGAGTAAATAGGATTAAAGATGAATTGCAAGTAGCCAAATATATCGACAAAATTTCATGGAGTGGGCTAAGTCGTCATGCACGCGAACTCGTTCGTGGCCGTGTCCAGCTGCAGCAGATGATGAAAACGGTTAAACGAAGGAACACGCGACCCAAACACCTGATGGGTCCCCATCAGAAAGAGGATTACATTTTCAGGACTAGCCGCATTCTGCTTCTGTGTATACTCAAATGCCTTAAGGCGACTTTCGTGAGGACCTCACTGCGCTCTTTACGATGGTTTATATTTGAAGAGAATCGGCTGGGTCCTGCGGACCATGTCGGTCGCGTCAACAGTTGTAGATACCCCAGTTGGGGACATCGTATACACTAAAAGATGGAGGCGCTCACAGAAGCAGACTAGTCAAAAACCCAACGGTAATTCTGTGTCTGAGTTATGGTCTTCGATTCCCAGGCATCTGTTCCCTACCAGTAAGGCAGCCTGCAAGTTGATGTACGATTCGACGCTGCTGCCCGCAATACGTTATTTTCTGCCATCGAAATTTTTAGTGAAAGTGGACAAAATTGTGGTGGCTGCAACTGCTGCACGACGTCCACACGGCTTGGGCCGTCACAGTCCGAAGCAATGAAAACAGAAAAAACGATCAATAAGAAACCGTCTATAAGCTACGTTGTAGCGTAAAATTGACGTTTCAACCAAATAAGTCAAGTTTCCTCTGCCACAAGCCAGATTTTGATCCCCACGGAAAAAAGCAAGTGTTGCATCTTGGGCGAAGTTCATTGCGCGGACAATCGTAGCTTAACATCCAAGGACTATTAAGACGCCGACTGACAAGTATGCCAATCAAAATACTAAGGGCACTTTAGTGAGATGTCGCTTTTTTATCATGAACGATCATCCAATTCTCACCCCCAGGTTGTTGTGAGCAACACAGAAACACAAATTAGGCAAATACATGCAAAATCAATAAGTCTGTAAATTTGCATAGAAAACAAACTCTTACTTTCTATACACTTCGAACGCGTTTGCTGCCTCTTCCGGTAGAGCTACACAGCAGTTAACACTTTGTGTAGGCCAAAGACCGGTGGTCAAAACGCGCACGTAGAGATCCAGACCAAGATTACGGTTGGTGGAGGTCAACATGGCATTGAATTCATCCATGAGTGTCTTGGAGACGGCCATATCTTTAAACATCCCCTCAAGCTTGCTGGTGTACACCGCACCGCATTCGGCCATGAGCTTGGAGATCATGATTTTCTCCTGATCGTCCGACTGACTCTTGCTCAACAATAATCGTTTGGCCAGATGTTTTTTGTAGTACCCTTCGAACACATCTTTTTCTTGCAAATACCGAAACAGTACTATACACTTGTCGAATACAGCATCGACGTCTTGATCGGCCATACCCTTGGTGCCTCGTTTCAACTTCTCGTCAATGAAAAGGGACAGAAATTCGGGTGAACGTGTATTCAGATTAATGAAGTATTCAAAATCAGAGTTGATTTGATTTCGGAATATGGTTTGATTATTAAGTGCCCGGACTAATAAATCGTTTGCTCGATCACGTAATTGTAGCAAATCTTGAATGTACTGTTGTGAAGACGATGCTCCTGATTCTTGGACAATCTTTCGTCCTTGTTCCCTGAGATACATACTGATGTAATGGCTCATGATTTTCGGCCCCTCCTCGACTCGGCTGAGGACATTGTACATGGCAGCAATATCTTCAAACCTGTCATGAGTGAGCATGTGAGTCAGGCCGGAATTTTCCATTCCCACAATAGTTTCCATGTGACGGCTGATCAATTCCTCTTCAAGGACTGCCACAATTTTGGGTTTCGTAGAAGGGTCCAGATAGTGATGCGCGCGTCTAATCTCCTCTTCGATTCGTTGTTCAACCTTTTTGATATAGAGAATAGCTGACGTATTCTCACTTAGAAAACTTTCACTCTCGGCTCGGTAGAAATCTCTGGACTGTTCCAGGAAGGGTTGTTCAAAATCTTCAAGGTAAACAGACAACGAGCCAACACCTAGCTGAACGAACATTTGACATGCATCACGTATCTGAGATCGGGAAATAACTTCTCCCCGACGTTCACGGTGAACCATGTCCAATAACGTTTTCTGTAGGTGATCTCGAATCACCGAGTATCGGAGGACGTAGTTACAAAACACTGTCATCCCCATCTTGTACACACTTGGTAGATTGTTTTGACCCACATACACACGATCCATGTACATCAGTATATCACGAATCATAGCCATTCCCGTCTGGTGATCTGTCCAACATGAGTTCAGGTAGGTGAGGAATTTGTTGTTCAAATTTTCCACAATACTATCGCGCACGCGAATCATGTGTTCAGAAACCAGGTCCTTCGTGCCAGCGTAGAGTCGTTCGCCGTGTTTATGCAAAACCAATGTATACGCACTTCGGTATAGTTCTTCATAGCTTAGCCCACCACTGTTCTTTTTCTGAATTTCAATCATGGCACTCTTGAGGTGCTCCCACAATTGATTCGCATGTCGTTCATCTATCGTGTGGGCAAATGCTTTGATGCGCATTCGAGGAACAGTTCCATCAGGACGACGAACACCGCTACCTTGGAACATGTCGAAAAGATAGCTGCAGTGGGGAAAGAAACGAGAATCGTTTATCACCAGGGAAGTTCCAAGATTTTATTACGTGGAACCATGGGAAGGGGATATGTGGGAGCATATGTCACCCCTGCTGAGATGTCAACCAATGATCCTGTTATAAGAGAAACTTTCGACGTTCACTTAGCATGCTCAACAGCAGTGGTAAAATAGACCTCTACACCAATATTTCCACATTTTGAATAGGAAAAATCACCAGGACTAATCCCACTCAATTCCCCTCCCTACAAAAAGGCCATCGCGCAGAACGAACATCAGTGGTTTCTGTCGGGCGGGTTGCTCACCTGAAAAGCCCGCTCTCCGACACATGGCTAAGAGACGCCATTCAAGGCATGAACATTCGTCGTGCTATCAAGTGGGCGGAGACGAATGTGCAACCTCCATGGTAAACGGTCTGGTAAGCCGAGTGGGTGTACCCAAATTATATACATATCTGATTAACCAGAAATCTAATATAGTGAGGATATATGGTTCATGGAAGGCAACTGTTTTGATGCCATAGCCAACTGGCCCTTACCTTTATCCGCAAATTCATAAAATAAGATTGATCCATGAGGCAACCCTAGCGCTACTCCATTTGTGATTAGATACACAAATCCAGTCTTATTCTACACAACCATACAGTCGCCTTAATGAACTGCTCCACGTCGTACGTTCAACATACGGTTATTATTCAAAAGAATCGTCTGTAAGCAGACGGATAGGGTATCAGTGGGCTCACCACTTAGGCCAATTTCGGTCTGTCTGCTTATAAGTAAAGTCGGAGATATACTGATCCAGTAATTTCACAGTTGCCTTCATATAAACGCTATGCTCATGGTAGTTTTATGAGTACTTCAAAAATTTAATTCGGTACATATGGCATTCGTCTTGTTTACCTGAACACGGCGTGGTGGGCTTTTCGCAACAAATACGCCAACTTCCAGTTCCATTCATATGTAGTCGAAATAAAATTTTAGAATGGCTAAATGGTCGTCCCCAGCTTTTTACTATCACCAACGAATATCCTCAAATGACGAAGCCATGAACTTGCGGTTTCATAAGCCATAACTGAAGGTATTTTATCGTGACAAAAAACAGCAGCCGAAATTATGAATTACGAACATCCACGGACCCCAGTAGATTGGCTCTCTTCATTTGGCCTGACAAATTATTCACTGGCGTATTGGACAACACTACATGCCACAAGGTTGGAAAAAGAGCGTGACAGTGAAAGAAATAAAGTTATTCAAGGCTGGATTGGAGGGATGCTTGACATGTTTTTCGGACAACGGAAACATACGAGCAAAAAGTAAAGTGCCAGCCTCTCCAATAAAAGGTATGATAATAATAAGGATAATAAAAGACGACTGACAAAAAAGAAAACTCGCCACAATAGGCTCTCTCTCTGCCAAAAAAGTGGTTCATCAGAGAAGAGTTCTGAGTAATGCAATCACTTTCGCAACGAAAAATCCTAAGGCGTACCGATGACCCTGAAAAGAACACACGTAAGACACGATCAGTAAGCTCCAGTTACGAAGAAACTCAATCACGGTGTGATAGTACGTAAACCTCCGTAACCAATCAGGTGTCAGCATGGCGTTCGCTGTCACCCGCGCGACAATGCATGGCGATTAGAGATGACTGAACAAAAATGAACAACATAAACGAGAGATTCAACTGGGTTCCAGGTGAGTCTCTCGAAAGAACCAAATTAGTTTGCAAATGAGTGTATTATCGCTAATTTCGTGCAATTTGGTTTCAAGTAGAACATAAGGTTGACGGAAACCCGGGGACTGCGCCTACCTGATGAGCCCCAAGAAGGGCGAAACCGGTCGTGGGCTGTCGGTGGATTTTCAGCAACCTTATGAGGAGTACATTACAAAGATATACATGTATCGCGATATTTCAAATATCGTAGCGAATGAAACATGAGGCGGCTTGGTGCATCACACTCAGTTGCCTCAGAACATCATAAACGAGAGATTTAGCTGGGTTCCAGGTGAGTCTCTCGAAAGAACCAAATTAGTTTGCAAATGAGTGTATATTCGCTAAAAATGAACTTCGTCTGCGGTTATGTAATCAGCAATAACTTCCGAAACAATCAACAGCACCTAGCCTGATGCTGCCATCCACCGGAAGGTCAGTCTCCGGTCCGAATTTACCAGACAGCCGTCACCTACTAGTGGCGTGCATTAATGATTGAACGCCGCTAAAATACGTGAGCGGATACCCGTAATATGCTTGTCTGTGTCTAGTTTTTGAGGTGCACGAACCTCAACTCACAGTTTGGAAGCTCACAAATCCGAAAATAGGAGACGCTTACGCGAATCGTTGGCTAAAATCCTTGCCAAACAATCCGTATTCCAATGTAAACTACTATTACAAAGTAATATCCACAACCCGCAAAATATTGATTTCTTTGTGGCGCGCACAGATCGCGACATCACACAAGAATCACCGGGTCGACTAATGATGCTACGCTGGTAGACTGTGAACAGAAAGCAATTCAGTGAAACAGAGGTAACTTCGCACTGATAGAATTGCGTAATGGGTGCATTACGTGAAATAAGGAAGGCAAGAACAGGGACTATCGGATCATTCACAAATGGTCCCGGACACAGAAAAAACTTGTGAATCAATGAAGACGAATGACGATCGCCTGTACCGGGATTTCTGTTGGCACAACGTTTTACCGAATACTACAGATGGTGACCAGCTGTTGTCCAGTAACATCATCCTGCACCAGCATAATGGAAGCGTGAAATCAAGATTCGACGGGGAGTTAAAGTGAAGAATGTGTCTAGCACCAGAAACTGCGCTGGCTAGGCTATGAACTGTGTATGTCGAACCATCGTTTGCCGAAGACAGTGCTGTTTTCCGCGCCCAATTCAGATGGACAGAAGCTAAGAGGGGGCCAACTCTTGAGATGGCACAAGGGCATGGAAGAGATTACGAAACGTCTGGATGCTGTCGGTGCTACTCGCCTACCAGGATGGGGACCGCGTGATCCCCACCACGTCTGATTGGATACGCTAAAAGGTACAGTTGCTAATCGATGTCCGTGGCGTTCTTGTTGTCAGCTGCTATCCAGACTGTCCGAATGGGTGTTTGGAGGTGTAGGCATCTCGAAATGATTGCGTTAGTCTAGCACTAAGTCCATTCTCCATCCACCTTTATTCTTTCTTCACAATAAGCATTTCAAATAAATCATGTTTCTAGGGCGGCAAAGCATCAGTGTCAAACCTTGATGTAATGCTGTCCATTATGATGATGATGATGTTATTTTTCTGCAATGTGTGTGCCGAACCGGAGCCAGTATTCTGGAAATCGTCTAGTAGAGTCATTAGAGCAACAGAACCTTTTGAGCGCCTAAATTTGGATCTCAAATGTCTCTTGTCACTTAATACATGCAACAACTACATTCGACAATCGACGAGTTCTCCAGATTACCTTTTGCATTTGCGTGTGCGGACATAACCTCATCAACGATTGACTGTCTCACACAAATCTTTTGTTTATTCAGAATGCCAGCTCTCTGCACCCCGACAAAGGCTCATCGTTCATGTCATCTGAGCTCATTAGCTTTCTTCTGGAGAAAGGTGTTGCCATGAGTCACAAACCAGCTTATGATCCACAGTGCAACGGTCAGGTTGAGCGTCTCAACAGTACACTCTGGGAAACAATAAGCTTGACATTGAAAACTCATAATCTGCCGCCTTCTCATTGGGACTTGTTACTTCCTGATGTTCTACAGCCTCCGATCACCGTTACGTACGACCACTAACTGTACTCCATATGAACGTCCGTTTAAAAACGCACGTCGCTCAACCTTGGAATCTCGCTACAATCTTGGTTGACTATCCCTGGTCTAGTACTGCTGTAGCGTGGTGATAGGCCACCCAAGTATCAGCTGCCAGCAGAAGCAATCGGCCTCCTGAACTGCAACCCACACTACTGCTCATCGAAACGGAAGAATCGAAATCGTGTCCCTTTGCCGCCTAGCTCCAGCAATTCAGAGTACAACTGACGACGTTCTCAATGTGCCTGAATCCAATGGGGACACCGAACACCCAGATATTACTGAAACAACCGGACGTCAGCCCGATAGCATTCAGGCATCTGAACCGTCCATCATACCATCCTCCGAAAACCGACCGATTTATCCTAAAATTCTAGAACAACAGCGACACCTTCATTCTTACACTTCAAAAAACAGAGAACACTGACTCAGTAATTCTCCACCATCTATGTCGGTATATATGTGCCCATTCAAACAATGCCGGGATGAATGTTCTGATTATTGTCTGCTTTTTATTATAAATATCCTACATACTCGTATCGAATTTCCAGCTTGTCCACGCTCGTTCTAAGACAAGTAATACGTTGCTTATCATCGATTCTTCTAATTTGTTCCCGGACAGTCTAAGCGCCTAAGCGAACTAATATCTTTGATCCGGGTCCTTGGTCTCCGAAAATATTCGCCAATGAGGAACATAACAGCTTTACTGCGAACAAGCGAGCTCAGAAGTTATAGGGGGGTTCGTGGTATTTAAAGCAAAACATTAACACTGATCTGAGCCGACTGATGGACGTCTAGTGAACACCCTTTAACATCGATCGTGCTTCTATGAAATGCGTGAACACTTATCATCGTCCGCCATGCTCCTGTGACGTGTCCGAACGCTCGCCGACCCTGGCTGAATTGATTGATTGAGTGACTGGCCTGGATGTTTGCCGGCTTCCATATAGCGATTTTTGTAGAGTTTAAGTGTCTCAGTAGGTTTCGGGAAATCTGGGTTTATTTTCAGGAATCTGGCCCTCCTAATAGCCACTGACATCGGGCGTGCCGCTATATTGGCCAGTGCCAACTGTTAAGCACAGAGAGGGCCAGGTGGACCGAATCCCGAAAGACAAACGGCAACAATGGAACACAAACTTTTCGTAACATATTTCATCCCATTCTGCTATGTCAAATTCTGTTCACCTCTGTATAATAAATAATCGTTCAGTTGTAACACCCTCCCGGTGCCCAGCTGCCATGTCACCCGAAGGAAACACGACGGCTGAGATACTGCACGGGATAACCCGACCTATGGTTCTGAGACCACGGTCATCGAATACATGAAGACGTTTCCGTTTCACTGGTCGAAGAGTCAAGGTCTCACATCCACACAACAAAACAGTCAGTACTTCACTCTGACACATTCCCTGAGATTCAGGGACATGCTATTTTTCTACCATAAGTACCTCATAAGAGCGAACATAAACCGAACTTTGGAGTTTCGTGCCCTAATCTGATTGGTCGCACCACAGCAGGAACCAATGCAGCTTCCAAGATAAGCAAAACGTTCCACAACTTCGAGTGCCTCTCTTGGCATTACTACATGTCCGGTAGCACATCACACTTGGTGGGAGCAAAACACATACCAAAGAACGGGATGACTTTGGTCAGTTTGAACGTGGGGACGATGTCATCTGCATATTCCAGGTGAACAAGGATCCCGTTAGCACGTATTTGACAACCAGAGTTTCGAAGATTTTCTAGCAGCCGTCTCACTATCACGTCGATCACAGTTTTTATAGGAATGGAGCGACTGGGCGTGCTCGTCGGATAAAGTCTTGTGTTAAGAAGATTTCAGAGAGCTCCCCGAACACTCACATGCCCAAAAGTCTGTGGCTGTCATCATCATCATCATCATCATCATCGACAGCATGACATCAGTATTCAACAACGATGCTTCACTGCCGTACAACCATGACTTATTTGAAAGCCTTATTGTTAAGAAAAGAGTAAAGGTGGACGGGGGAGGAACTTAGTGCTAGCTTAACACAATCATTCCGAGGTGCCTACACCTCCAGACATTGAATCAGGCAACCTGGATAGAAACTGACAACAAGAACGCCACTGACATCGGTTGGCAGCGATATCTTGTAGTGTCTCCAACCAGGCACAGTGAGGATCACGCGGTCCCCATCCTGGAAGGCGAGTAGCACCGACAGCACCCAAGCGTTTTGTGATCTCCTTCATACTCCTCTGCCAAGTCAAGAGTTGGCCACCTCTCTGTTTACGCCATTCTGAGTTGGGCATGGAAAACAGTACTCTCATGGGCAAACTATGGTTCGGCATACGTGGCTATAACTAACATATATCATACTGGCAAACCTCTGGAGCACTCCTTGCTGAGCAAGCGTTTTCGTGATCATCGTCATCAGTTTATGTAATTATATTCAAAGCACTAAGGCGAGGACAGAAGAGTGACTGAGTTGGTAATGCTGACCTATCGCAAGCATTCTGAGATGTCTACACTTCCAAGCGTTCAGTTAGACATTCTGGAAAGACACCGACAGAACGAAGTCCACTGATATCTACTGCCATTTTTCACAAAATCTCCAGCCAATCACAGGAGGGGTCATGGGGACCCCAACAACACCAAACGTCTTTCACACACTTCTGTCAAATCATACGTAGTCCTTTCCGCGGTGTTGCTGTAAGACGACCAGGAATCAGTGACCCCGGAGGCCTTGTTACGGGAGTCAAAGTGACACCCTGTGGTTAGTACATTCACTGCGAGTACCCTTCTTGAAAGTGGGCACTCTCCCAGATAGACCCAAATAGGCTAGACTGACACTGGCTGAATAATTCGCCACCCTCCTTGAACACAGCAGGTGCAAGGCTATCAGGACCAGTGGCATGATGGCGTTGAGTAGAGATATACACTCAGAGAGTTCTGAGGCTGAAGGGGGTTTCGTGTTCACAGTTCACCTTTCTGTTGAGAGCCAGCACTCAGGATTAGAGATGGCGGGGAGCCACCTGAATTGCTGGTCGAAGTACCGCGCCCAACGGTCCAAAGGTTCTCCTTAGCTAGATACCTGAGGTCCATTCTTGTTCCTGATAGTTTCGCTGACCAAAGGCTTCCAAGGACCACTCGAACGAATCAAGTGGAAAAGGCTTTGGACGTTTACAGCATTTTTCGCAACTTCCATTTATTCGATCTTTTGGATGCACCAAACTTTTCGGTTTAGATAGACACCCAGTTTTACCTGTTGTCGGGTGATGCCTGGTTGGATAGTAGTTATAGCAAGGAGGAATCTGTCGCTGGGCCTCCAGCAAAGTTACGGTCTTATCAGTGATCCAATGTTTGGATGAGGCTGGCAACCGGAAGGTCCGGCTTCATGTATCTGTTTCCGCCTTAGGTATAGGTTACCAGTAGCCGTCACTATCCGATATCAGACCATCCAGTAAACGTTCGGGGAGTAAGTTCTGACAGTTTCGTTTGATTTCTCGGTTCAATAGAGAGGTGTGCGAACTTTGCATAGACCTAAAAAGCACAACGAATAGCACCAGCTCATGTGTATGGTCAGAGCCCGCGCTAGTATTTCAGAAGAAACGGAATGCAGTGATCGACTCCCACTGTTAGCAACCAATGGTAGGCTCGTCGGTAGGCACCACGTTCCCAAGCGGTTTCCGCTGCTCCGGGAATCGGTGTTGCGAAAGGAAGAGTCTGTGATTGACACATCTGAATTAGACAATTTCGGTTGTCCGTGCGTCTCGTATCCAATCCAAGACGACCAACCAAGTGGACCTCAGCAGTGCTTAGTCTACCTAGTGTTCATGTCCAAGAGCTTTTTAGCTCTTGGAAAAAAGCGCCTATAACGTCATAAAAACTGTCCTTTTGAGATTCAGGGCTACACTTAGTTGCAGCGTATTCAGACACAATAAACAGGGTGCGATGGACCTCACATTCCCTAGATTCTTTCACAAGCTTTGCCAAACGGAACGTGCGGAGGCGATTATCAACGATTATCTCACCAGCCAAAGAGGCATTCGCTCGGCCACTGGATACAGTACCCAGCCCAGCTTATCCAGCTGCAGCGGCCCAAGCATCACCAGAGGTGCGCAGCGGAAACTGGAAGTAAAATAATAAATAAATAAATAAATCTCTCAGCTGTAACACCCTTTCGGTGCCTAGCTGCCATGCCACCCGAAGGTTTCACGAGGGCTGGGATACTGTCAGGTTGCCCAAGCCTAGACAGGGGAAGTCGAGTGGCAGAGGTCGGGTTCGAACGACGGACCTTCCGGTCAGTAAATTCGCGCTCCAACAACTTGAGCCATCTCGCCATCTCGCGGAAACTGGAATAGAGCAAACGAGCAGCCAGTTCAATTACGTACGGACAATGGGGAACGATTGCTTCAGCTGTGTGCTGATCGCAGGCTGTTTTTATGCAGTATAAAATAGCCGAAGTCGTCTGGCCACTTGGTGTTCTCCAACAACAGGCCGGCCACAAACTCAAATCGACCACACTGCCATCCGTTACCGATGGC